AGTTGGGTCAATGCCTGAATGAGAGGTGAGATTTCATCAGCTAGTTAGACGAGCGGGCTTGTCAGCTTTGCTTGCAGAGCTATAAGATACAACCCTTCCTGGAAAACTTCTCCGCACATCCCCAAGGAATGGTTCTTACTAACGCTCAGCTCCAGTCCCCCCCGCCACCAGCACTACATCTTTGCTGCTGTCTCTGGCTCTGGGCATGATTAACAATGTGAAGGGATGTTACTGAACGAAAATCGAAGCCGGATTATCGTTGCAGTTGGTGGAGACCACGACGCAGATGTTCAGATGGTCCTGAGTACTGCAAACGTGCCGGATGGCATTCGTCTCCTCGCGGAGGCCTGGCAAGGTGGAAAGCTGACAACACTTCCTGTTTCTGGGAAAGGGGCCAATTGTTGGGCAAGACGAGAGCAGTAAAGACTTTGGGAACCCCTGAATGACGTTCCACTTTCAGTCAACGTGGAAAAAGAGGACTCCGTGGTAGCTGCTGTGAATGAGGATTTGCTCCCCTTCGGCCAGTAAGGAGTGACTGAGCTCTGCTGCAAGGCCAGAGAAACTAGCTCTTAATGTTTTGTGTGCTCCGGCCCTGGGAGCACCATTGTGGGCTCCCCAATGCTGGGGAGAGGCCTTGAGCCTCAGGGGCTGGATCCAAGCATGACGTGATATTTTTATAACCGTCTAATGTCGTTGGCTTGAGACGCTGATTGGCAGTGAACACAGCAGAGTGCGTGTTTAAGATGTACCGGAGGGCTGTTTCAGCAATGCTGTAGCCACAAGGATCAAAACGCATCCCACTAGCACCGTTACGCAGTGTCGTGGAGCTGTGTCACCTATCGGAAACGCAGGCTGCCTTTGATCAGTCGACGCTCCCCGGAGCAGCAGCAGCCTTTGGGAACAACACCGCAAGAAGTTGCTGCTAACAGGTGTCTTCGAACAGCAAGATACTGTACAGGCATCTGAGCAGCTACTCGGGACTCCTGGATTCTGTCCCCTTTCCAGGTGTTAGCGTGGAATCGAATACTTGTGGAATGGCATGAGATGGTAGCGGTTACACGACTATTTGATGGTCCCCGGGGGGGCCGGCAGCCAGTGCACTCCAGCCCCTCTCCTGGGGAGACTGGGCCCCTAAACTCCAGCCCCTTCCCCTAGGCTCTCCTCCATGCTCTCAGACAGCCAGCAACCAACTAACTAACTTCCAGCCCTGCCCCCCAGCCAGGGCAGCATTCCACCTTCCTTTGTTCCTCTCCATGGGGGGTGTCTGGCCACTGGTTTGCATAGTGACTCATCCTGTTTTGCTGGGTCCTGGTACCCACGGCAGCTAGTGGGGGTTACCCCAGAGCCAGCAGCATAGAAACCAGCCAGGTACCCCCACTACGTCACAGTCCCCCATTTGGAGGACAGACAAACACACAAAGTCTCTTAAATATATTGTAGATAACTGTCCCTTTCTCCACTTGACCCCTGCTGGCCCAGTGATGCCTACAGCTGTCCCAGTCTCCATCTCTGGCCCCTTGCTGTCCCCATGTGGTTATTTAGCAGCCCTTAAACAAAATTAAAAGATTACTACAGGACTACCGAACCCTGTTCCAGACAACGAGCTATACCTGTTTAAAGTTCAAGATATTCTGCTTCCTGAATCTGATTTTAAACTATTACAAGCAACTACAATGCTAATATTCCCCCAACCTGTCAACCATGGAAGACTTCTTTTCCAAGCAGTTAATTATTTCAGGTGTCAGCAGCACCCTCCTGTTTGATCAGAGTATGAGGGCTTCAGAGCTGCCAACTTTATGATTTTATTACAAGTCTGGCAATATTTTTTTGTTTTTGTAATTCATATGATACCATTTGAATCTTAGGTTTCTATTTTTATCTTGTTTAATGTTTCTAAATCTCATGGTTCTAGAGGAAAGCTTGAAAATGTGAATAAAGGATAATACCCCAAAAGACAAATAAAAGGAACCCATCATTATTTTCTAAAAATTGCGTGATTTTAAGCTAATCTCATTATTTTGGGCCTGACTCATGATTGTTTTAATGCTTGGAAGCAACAAATTACTTTCAAACAAACAATCTAATTAATATTATTTAACTTCTGAATCCCAAGCTAGAGCCATAATCACCAGGCTATCCTCCTCAATACTAATCAGAAGAGAATTAGTTTAAACTACAATTCTTAGACTAGATGGACAGATGTTCATATCTAGAGCCTGCAAATCCATGGATATCTGTTTTATATCCATGGGCATCTGCAATAGATATGGATGTGGCTATCCGCAGATATGGATGTGGATGTGAATACAAATTTTGTATCTAGAAACCTGCAAATTTGTGGAGATCCACTTTATATTTGTGTGTGGCTGCATCCAGGAATGTCAATGAAGCTGTCCATGGTTCATTTTTGTGGACACAGATACAGATTTGGAGACTTGTATCTGAATGGGGCTCTATTTATATCATCTATACATGGCCAAATATGCACCTTCTGGATGGGCAGAAAGGATGACCTGTTCAGATGAAAAATTTCTGTGCTGCATGATTACCAAAAGGAAAGAAAAAAAGACACACCCCATGACAAGATATTCCATGCAAATGAGTTCCCTGCCTCCAGAAGATTATAACTACTGGTGCTGAGTTTAGTATGCTCTGCCAATGCAGGAGCTATGCAGCCTGTGAGAATTACTCTACCTCCTATGCGTAGGAACTTGGGAAGAATAATCAACTTCTAAAACTCCTCTGTGCCTGCTGATGACTCTCCTGTGCTGGGGGAGAAATCAACTAGTTAGGCTGTGGTCAATGCCTGCTCTTTCTGCATTGCCTGAGTTGTCCAAAGAGAATGGAGTGGTACAGAAACTGCTGCACAGTACCTCAAAGCTACTGTTAAACTACAGGTGCCATAATGATAGGCAATATAGGAAAACCCAAAAAGTAATGTAGGAAACTAGAAAATTTACCTGGCATTGCTCACATCCTTAACTCAATTAATTTTTGCAGGGTGGAGGAGAAAAATGAATGTATGCTTCATTTAAATCAGGGCTGTGGATGAGGGGCTCAGTATGTAGGCTGTATAGGAGAGAGGGGACTACCCCAGCCTTCTCTCACTGCAGTACATTGGGGCCAGATGAGAAGCACTTCTCCCTGGCTGCTGCAGCTCCAGTGGGCAAAGCTGAGGGAGGAATGCCTGTCCTGCAGCTGGGGCAGGCCCAGGTTTGTCTGCCCCCTGTGCTCCACAGCCAGAGTCAGGAATGCAGCAAACTGCATTTTCCCTGACAAAGGGGAACATCCAGCAATGTTCCTGTATGAATCGAGGTGGGGAAAGAAGCTTCTGCCCCCCTGCCCTCCCAAAAGGGTACCGGGGGGGTTGAAAACTTGGGGCAGTCAACCCCAGCCAGCCTTTGCACTTGCCTGGTAATTCTGTCTCTTTTCTGTACGGGTTTATGAGAATCAAACCCATTCCAGGCACATCCCATTTTCCTGGTACAACCAAACCCTAACCTTGCTTTAAGTTATGATGTGTGGAAGCTGTATACCAAATTTGGTAATCCTAGCTCTTACTGTATAGGAGTTGAACAAATAGACAGTCACACAGACGCACAGAAAACAGATGCACAGACAAACTCAAATATATAATAGATAGTATCTCTTCTACTGTGATAACATCAGACAAGATGTGCCTTTATTTAGGGCAATGAAATTCAGCTGCACATATTAAAACCTCACTAGGTAATCTTAATTTTCTGCTATTATTCTTTGATCACCAGCTGCATGTTTTCTGAGATGTCAGATGCTCCAAAATGTTACAGTTTCTTGATATTAGACAATACAGATGCCAACACATATTTTCAGCTGCTCTTTTATAGCTTAACTGTCTGAATTTTTAGGCAGATGTAAGCCCCTCATTACCAGTGTAATTAGCTACATGGTTGTATAGAAAACAAATGGTAACAGCCATTGTGTGTCTGTGTGTGTGTTCTTTTTCTATGATATGGTAAAACAAAATTATGGCACTACTTCAAAGAGAGAGCAACTGTTAAAGGAAATAAAATCAGATATTTTTGTTCTACAAGAGTAATAATAAAAACAACCCTCACACAAGCAGGCTGACAAAATTCAGCATTTTGCCCCATGAACAGGGTAGTTAAACTGTTATTGTACCTTATTTCAAGTGGAAATTCTTAGACAATATTACAATTTCTGAAGTCACAATATGGTTAGAAGATAGATATTTTAGAACTGAAGAAGAGCCTCTAGCCCAACAATCCATTTTTACACATATCTTACTGCCATATTCCTCCTTTTCACCTTCCCCTTTAATAGTGTTTTCAGATAAATGCAGATTTTTCAACAATTATGATACACATTGTAATTATTACCGATCATAGTCAGCCAGAATGCAATTGCAAATGCGTGTCCCTACAGAGAAAGACTAGCAATTCAATTGTTGATTCTCAGCTCCCAATGGGGCAAGCCAATCTCAGCACGATAGGTCTAGGATTTGAAACTCCCTGCCAACTTATCCTTTGGCCCATGAAAAGCAAATATAATGGGGATTTCTGGTACACAGGTGCATAGCCTGCTAGTCAATCCACACTTATCTGCCTCTCTCCATGGCATA